TTTTTTTTTAAAGCGTGCCCTGTGCCCAAGGCTGATATTACCAATAAGAAGATTGAGGCCGGGGTCCTCACAGTCTACCCGGAGTGACCGAACAGAATCTGCTGAGAACCGGGCTCAATGCCCCTCATATGATGATGATGATGATGATGATAAACTTCTGCTCATTTAATGAAAACTGTGAGATGTGCCTCTTCACCCTGCTGGGCGACAATCAACCGTATCCTAATCCTACACATCTACAATTGTGCAAATCTACAAACCTATGTGCTTGATCACAAAAACCTCTGTGTACAGCAATCAACCGTGTCTTAATATCCTATATTAACGGCGGCTGTGTGCAGCAATCAACCGTGTCCTAATCCTACACATCTACAATTGTACAAGTCTACAAACCTGTGTGGTAGATCACAGAAAAAATCCCGAGAAAGACAAAGAAGGCAATCGACCCGGGGGACAGTCCACTGATGCGAGTCCTGCAAAAACACCCCATCGTGTGGTGAAAAACTGCATTATCTTTTTGGTAAGCCCTTTCCGCTGTACTCTATGCGCCCAATCGGCCTGTATCGTTTGTTTAATGCCATATTTGACCTCTGCTCGGATCATTGGTGGCGTCAGCTTGTCTCCACGTCTGGTTGCTGAGTTTCTCAGTGTCCAAAGGGTCCACAGTATTGCACCTCTGAGCGTCTCTTCCGCGTATGTGTAACGTTGTGAAAGGGGTGTTTGTCTTGCTGCAGTTCCCATCAATATGAAGTGATCTGTCCATCTGGATCCGTTTCCGGAGACAGGGATGTCTGAGTGTCTCCACCAGTCCCAGAAAGGCCGAGCAATGTCACAATATAACATGAAGTGCTGCATATCTTCCATTCGAGTCCCGGGACATATCAGACATTCCGCCCGTGCCTTAGTTGTTCGTTTTGCACACCAAACAGCCACCGGGACTGCTTGGTGCATCATGAGCCAGAGGAAACTGGCATGTTTAACGACGACCAAGTCCATCAGATTCAACCCAGAATCAGGGTAACACGTCCAAAAGTCTTGTCAGCGAGTCTCGGATCCAACCTGTCGCCAACCATCTACAAGCCAACTTCCAATTGGCGTCAACCTGAGGGGTTGAAAGCAGATATCCCAATTTGGTTGAATAGTGATGCATCTGGACCATTCATTTCGGTGCAGGGGGTGTTCCCAAGTCCAATCTCTGGGGTCCACAGACAGAAGGTAGGAAGGGCAAGAAAGACAAAAGGGGCGATAGCCTGTTGCAGTTTCTAGAACACAAACAGGTGTCAGAGCTTGGGCAGGGGACAAAGGCTCTTGATTTACAGCGAATGTCAAAGTTGTTCCCAGGCCAAGAAATCCATCTTGCACCTCCCAGCAAGAATGTGGTGTTTGAAGTTCCTCCGAATAGCTCGCCATTTTCCATATTTGCACTGGTTGTTCTTGATGCAAATGTTTATACCACATTCCCTGAGCAGGGACAAGACCTGCACCCAAGCATCCCGGATTGCTTGCTGTAGTTGTTGTAAGTGATCCCGTTGGTGCCAGAGACCAGAAAGTGAAGGTGCCAAATTTTCAAAGGGTTTCCAATCAGCCAATACAAGGTCCCATATGTCAGCCACTGTCCCTATGCCTCGTGCCATCCAAGCATTGCCAAAGGCCCCTGGCCCATGGCTTTGGAAAGGAATTCCGTGAGTTGAGTAGATGAACTGATTATGAAAAAGGGGTTGAGTGAGTATCTGCTCCATAACCATTGGCGGTGGTTGCAGCACAGGGGCGACTTGCTTCCAAGCTTTTAATATGTCTCCCCATACATCTGATGGCAATCGTTTCCTCAAGTAGGAGACGAAAAGCGAAGCCAACCAGACATGTTTGGGGTTCTCCCATCCCCAAATTGACAAAAGAGCAGGTTCTGCTAGTTGTTTCCACCCGAAGGTGGAGTCAGCTAGCAGGGCCCACGGTATCCATCTAGCTGATAGTGCTGCAATTTGTCTCTCTGGATCCAAAACTGCCAGGCCTCCTTTCCGTTTGGACTGTGTGACCACCTCCCAAGCCACTTTGGGTAAGTAGCTGTCTTGGTTTGTTTCTTCTTTCCAAAGATAATGCGTGGCAAGGTGGCGCACAGTTTGCAGAGAAGACAAGTCAAGTTGGTAGATCGACCTATGGTACCAACGTGTAGAGAACAAGCATTATTAATGACCAAAGATCGTCCATATAGGCTCACCCTTTTATGGGCAGTCCAGGGCTGGAAAGCAGCACGAAGTGCCGTCAATGAAGAAGCGGAAATTCAATCCAATCGCAGTTGGGGAGCAAATGATATTCGATGGGCCAACAACCGTTCCTGCTGTGTTGGCACCACAACCCTCAAGCCCCAATGATAGGGGGGTTGGGCTCCTGGTGACACAAGGACTGATGACTTGGACCGATTGACTGCAACTTGTGAGACAAGGCAAAAGAGATCGCTAGTCTCCTGTAGCTTTTCGAAAGCACAATCCAGCAAAGGAGTGAATGCTACTGAATCGTCAGCAAAGGCCTCCGATTTTAGCCTGTCGCCTGAAGGTAAAATAAATCCCGGAATGTCAGGGTTACTTCTAATCAAAACAATAAGGGGCCACAGGACATCCTTGCCTAACGGACCGAGAGAGTAAGATTGGTGGGGAAAGTGTACCATTAACACACAGTCTAGAGGCAGCTCCAACCAGGAGTGCCTTGACTGCATGTCGAAACTTAGGTCCAAAACCAAAAGTCATCATCGTGGCTTGTAGAAATTCCCATCCCACCCGATCATATGCTTTCTCCAGGTCAAGTAATATGACTGCCATTTGTTCATCTCCCGCTGTCACCCATTCCATAAATCTTTCAACCGTCATGACGTTGTAGAGGATTTGTCTCGCTTGCGAAAAGCCAGTTTGCGAGGGGTGGATGATCGTCGTCAGTACTTGCTGCAGTCTTGTGGTCAGAATTTTGGAGAAGATCTTATACACGGTGGGCATCAATGTGATCGGTCGATAGTTGCGAACGTCTGTCCGGTCCCCTTTTTTAAAAACAAAAGTGATGATTCCTTCTAATGCAGAAGTGGGTAGGGCCCCCCCATTCCAAACTGC